GTGGGGGCAGGGGTCTCTGTGACATAGCCTGTCTGTGAGCTCCACCTAAATCCTGTCTGACCTCCGCCCTGCTGACTGCTGGCCCTACCTCACGTGTTCTGCAGCCCACCCAGGACTGATTGATTGGCACTCCCTAGACCCAAACTCTTAAATTATTTTCCATGGTTCATGGAGAGGTGCACGGCTGTGGCCAGGTGGGTCAGGGGCCAGGGCAGAATCGTCCTGGTGAGATGTACCTTCCCCTGGTGATGTGTCAGGGCAGGGTGCGGAGGGAGCAGGGAGGGCCTCCCAGGTCTCAGATGTATGCAGATGGCACATTTTACGTGGAAGTTTTGCAATTGTCTAGCAACTTAGGGTCGTGAAATACTTTCCAGTTTTTCCTCTCAATTATTGGGGTGACACAGGGGAAAGCCTGTGACGTGCTGTGTTATTATCATTTGGATAATATACCTTGACCTGTAGGGATGTGTCTTTGAGGGTATGAATGTACTGGTATTGCTCCAGCAATACCCTGGGCCACAACGACAGGCCTGAAATTGCTGAGGGTTTAAGGCACTGGAAGGCCTGACTGTGCTTTAGTTTTCTCTCTTGTCAAATGCTAGTTCCACTAGTCCCACAATTTTCTTGTGGGTAGTAAAATGAGAGCATAGAAACAAAAATATGCAGTGAGATGTGATCACGCCACTGCACTCCAACCTGGGCAACAGAGCGAGACTCCTGACTCTAAGAAAAAAAAGAAACAGAAAAAGAAGTTTAATAAAAGGGCCATAATGCTTTGAAAGTACTATCGATACTGTGAAACTTTAAGGTATAATGTAATTGTGTTTGTATAACTTCTAACAGTCCTTGTGGGATTAATAGCTAACAATGTGGAAATAATCTGTTGTTGGGACAGGAATGTCATGCTGATATGGCAATTGTCTAGATGTACTGCCTTTTGAATGGATGCCAAAATGTGCTAAGTCCTGATACCTGAAAAATGGGCAGTGAGTGTCTGGAAACCTCTCCAACTCCCAGAGGGATAGCCGATTTTACTACAAGAGTTTCTCAGGTTCCATAGTTACTCTAGAGCTGTTCTGCTGGGGACACGCATTATTTTATTTTTTAAAAAGATAAGTTCTGTGATTTTCTATCAAGACTTTTGTGTTTCTGTTGATAACTTCCAGAGTAATTATTCATATTCTCCAATAGACAGACTGTTTGCTCAGTGCGACAGGATTTGTTGATCTGCTGTTACAACTCAATCCCAGTACATTTTGTGGTGGCGATTTTCTGAAGCATTCTTCAGGTTGTGCTATCGTATTGCACGAATCCATTTATCAGCCCACATTTCAGGGCTAACTACTGCTGTGTCATCATTACATACTTGTTTGCAGGATCTGTGGGAGACAGGGTGGCAGGTCCCCCAATTATACCTCCAGTCATTTCGTCAGTTGGTTGTCACTGAGCACGTTCATTTCTTTCCTTCCTTCCTTCCTTCCTTCCTTCCTTCCTTCCTTCCTTCCTTCCTTCCTTCCTTCCTTCCTCCCTACCTCCCTCCCTCCCTCTCTCTCTCTCTCTTTCTTGTTTCCTTGCTTTCTCTCTTTCTCTCTTTCTTTCTTTCTCACATGGAGTTTTGCTCTTGTCGCCCAGTCTGGAGTGCAATGGTGCAATTTCGGTCACTGCAACCTCCGCCTCCCGGGTTCAAGCGATTCTCCTGTAACTGGGATTACAGGTGCCCACCACCACGCCCGGCTAATCTTTTGTATTTTTAGTAGAGACGGAGTCTTGCCATGTTGTGCGGGCTGGTCTCAAACTCCTGACCTCAGGTGATCCGCCTGCCTCAGCCTCCCAAAGTGCTGGGATTACAGGTGTGAGCCAACGCACCCGGCCATTTCTTATGTGCCTGTCACAATGTTTAGTGGTGAATGCATGATCCTGAATCCCCTAAGCAACTGTGTAGTCCTGATCAAACATTGTACTTTATTTCAGTCACAAGCTAGACCTTGCTTTATCTGTGTGATTTTACCTAAGCTGCTTTAATAGGTACCTAAAGGTTTTTTTAGTTGTCTTATTTACATTTGCTCCATGGGCTTTTTTTCCCCCTGTAGTTTTTCCAACAGATTTGGCTGTTCAGTTTTCAGGTTTTAATGTGAAACTGCTATAATTTTCACAGACCAATGAGGTTGCTATGATACTCCCCGAAGACTTGCCTCATTTTGCATCGGGGGCTGCATCTGTTGTCAATGTGAATTACTTCCTTTCCACCTGAGGAACAGGAAGGCTTTTAATCGGGGTATTTCCATAGATAGTTACTCATTAACACTTCGATACTGTATACAAGATCGGCTTTCAGACCATTTTATAATACCATTAACATGTTAGAATAGAGAGAATAAATGGCAATATTGCCTAAATCTCATTGCCTGTGTTGAGGCAACTTCTTAATTTTTTCCTCCATGGGAATTATATATATATATATATAAAATATATATATAATATATATATATAATTTATTTATTTATTTATTTATTTATTTTGAGATGGAGTCTTGCTCTGTCACCCAGGCTGGAGTGCAGTGGTGTGATCTCAGCTCACTGCAACCTCCACCACCTGGATTCAAGCAATTCTCCTGCCTCAGCTTCCTGAGTAGCTGGGACTACAGGCACGCACCATCATGCCCGGCTAATTTTTGTATTTTCAGTACAGACGGGGTTTCACCACGTTGGCCAGGCTGGTCTCGAACTCCTGACCTCAGGTGATCCACCTGCCTCAGCCTCCCAAAGTGCTGGGATTACAGGCGTGAACCACCACACCTGGCCAAGTTTTTCTATCATCTAAAAATGAGAGATTCTTTTTAGGGTGGGGACATGGTGGGGGACATGTTAGATTGGGAGAGGGAAGTTTGAAAAAAGATTTTTCTGCATTATATTATAATTTAGTAATTATAAAATTGTTTTTTAAAAAAAGAACTTACTACTTTCAGAGTACAAATCAGAGAGAGTCAAACATCTGAGAGGGGAGAGATGTAGATTCAGTATCAGTTATTCTCGGGGGGAGGGAGGAACCCACGGTCTTTATCACAGTTGTTCTTTCACAATTTGGTTCAGTTTACATTTCTTCTTGGCAGTCCATCTGTGCCAGGGAGCATGGGGACCTGGCTGACCTGTCAGGAATACCTAATGCATTTGGAAGCCAACAGTCTTCTGGTAGACCCAAGGAGACATGGGAGCCAGCCTGACTTTGCAAAATCCAGCCTCTCCCCATATATGCCCTATCTTTAAAGCAGGAGAAGCCTCTCAGAGAATGAGTACCTAGTCTCTTGGCTGTCGAAGGCAGAGGCAATCTGATTCAGGGAGGAGGATATAGCACAGTGAGACTGGGGAAAAGAAAAAAATACCCAAAAAACAAAAAGCCTGAATACAGAAAGGATTCCTTTGGAGAGGAGGGCCTGGTGGGGAACTGCAACCTTATCCCCTGAGACTGCGGCTGAGAAACTCAGCCTGGAGGTTCAGTGAACCCGTTAGTAACATGAACTTGGTCACTGTATTTCTCAGCCCGAGCTCATGCATTATTTACCTGGCGTAAGTAAACCTGCTTCTCCCACGGTTGCTGGGGAAACCACTTTGATTTATTGAGTTCTGTTCTACTCTCCAGTGAAAAATGCTGCAGGGTGGAAAGAAGGAAGGGGGGCACTACTGGGTCTCAGGGGCTCAGGATGTGGAGCAGTAAATGGGAGTCCCCACTTTTCCCTGAGAAGGGACCGACTAGGAAAGAATGCAGATTCCAGTGCTGGGAGCTCCAAGGTTGCCATTTCCTGCTTCTCTGAGTATCCCTTTTCTCTATAACACATCCTCCAGGAAGAGAGGGGAACAGGGAGCTAAGGAGAAAGGTGTCCCTTTCCCGAGGCCCCGGTGAAGGCCACTTGCAGCTCTCCCTCTGACTGCTTGCAGAGATAGCATCAGTTTGTGCAGGGCAGGGAGGGGAAGGAGTCAGGTTTCCCCAGAGGCTGTTTCCCAGGTGGATCAGCCTGGGAAAGCCAACTCCATAACACAGGTAAAGTGGTCCTATCTGCTCCCAAGCTTGCTGCAGCTCATATCTAGGGAGTTGCCTCATAGACCAGGCAGCTATTGTAGCTTAGAAAGGGCTTGGGACCCTGGGCTCAAATCTCAGTGCTTTTATTTATAATTTGAACAAGCTGTATAATCCTTCTGACTCTCAATCCCCCAATGTGTGGAAGACGGATAGCAGTGTCTGCCGTGGAGTGTTTTTGCGAAGACTTCTCAGTGAGTGGTCTATGGAACACGTCCATGCCCAGGCATTACAATGTGGGGTGAAGGGTTGCTTGCTTAGACCACCTGTTTCCTTTTCTTACCAGCAAGATTCAGACATCGTGCCGGGCTCCCTTCCTCCTCTTTACTGCGTATTGATTTTTCCTTTCCTCCCTTTGTTCTATTTGTGGCTCCTCTGGCCCCGCACAATTGCATTATTTCTTCAGAGGCACATTGTATGAGGAGGTCTGTTCTTGCCCAGCAGCATCCTGGGCCTTCCTCCATGCCCAGCCGGCCTGGGCTGCTGTCCTCCTGGTCTGTGACCTTGTTGCATTTCCTTCTATAAAATGGCACTGTGTGGAGCCTTTTCCATTCCTTTCAGATTCTTTGCTTTTACTGGAAGGAAGCTGCTGCCTGTCAGGTGAGTGTGGTGATGTCTGCCAGGGTAACACAGACTGAGACATGTCAGCAAGATGCTTGCAATGACCCATGCATTTACAAATTCTTTAGGCAATAGCCATAAATTGGTGAAGTTTCAATTTTCTTTTTTTTTTTTTTTTTTTTTTTCTGAGACGGAGTCTCACACTATTGCCCAGGCTGGAGTGCAGTGGCACGATCGCGGCTCACTGCAACCTCCACCTCCCAGGTTCAAGCGATTCTTCTTCCTCAGCCTCCTTAGTAGCTGGGATTACAGGCACCCGCCACCTCGGCCTCCAAAAGTGCTGGGATTACAGGCGTGAACCACCACGCCTGGCCTCAATTTTCATTTGTAAACCACAATGACATGTTAAAAAAAGAAAAGACTTTCCTAGATATCACTAACATAACTGTTTTTAGCAGCAACTTTCTAGATTTTCTTTGGTTCTCCTGGGGTTATTTTGTTATATACGGGCTTATGTTTAAGTTTGTACTTAGCTACTATTGAGATTAGAATATAACTGTTAATTACGTCTTTGACATTTCTGCCTTGATATTAGGTGCTAAATATCCCCAAATGACTTAGTTTCTCTCTACTTAAGCCAGTTCACCTGCTCCAGGCCTCTGTGCATTGTTTTCTCTGAAATGTCCGTATGGCCAGAAAACCTATGTGTGTTACTGCGCTGCCTCCAGATCTTCCGATTTCATCCAGAACTGTTCCCATTGGGGCGGATGTTTCATACTGGCTTCTTAAAGAGACTTCTGATTTCTTCCAAACTAAATGATAAATCAACAAAGAAAACCCAGGCCATCTCACAAATGTTTTTTGGCAGCAGCCACTCTTCAGAGAGGATTAAGAAGGAATTCTTCTATGAGGGAGGGGCCGGGCAAAAGAAGAGCAGACCTAAGAATGTTCTCGGCCAGTGGCTCTTAAACTTCAGCACACATCAGAATCACCTGTGCCCCGGAAAGCATGGCTTGCTTGGCCCACCCCAGGGTTTCTGATTCAGGAGGTCTGGGCAGGGCTGGAGAATGTGCATTTCCAATCAGTTCCCCGGAGATTGTGATGCTTTCTCTGCAGGAGCCACAGTTCAAGCAGAGAGGACTGCGGAGGCTTGAGACAGGAAAGAGTTTGATAGGTTCCAGGACAAGAAAGGAGTCCGGTGTGGCTGGAGGGTAATGACTGAGGGGCTGGAGAGGGAGGCAGGTATCACAACATGCAGTGGAGACACAGACACACACACACACACACACACACACACACACACACACACAATGTTTGAAGTGGGGTGTGCGTGCGGGGTTAATGACCTGATTTGCCTTTGCAATTGTTATTTCATTTGATTCTCTTCGCAGTCACCATGCTGTGAACTCGGTGCCTTTGATCTCTGTAAACCACCCCACCCCGCACCTTCCACAGAGTAGATGCTGGCTAAGTTGTATTATGTGCCAGATGCTGTCCTAAGCTCTTTATAAACATGATCTCATTTGACCTAATGACCTAAGGTCATCTCCTAATGACCCTGTGAAGCAGGAACTGTTATAATCCCATTTTACAGATGAGGAACACTGAGGCATCAGAGAGGTTACATAACTTGCCTGGGGTCGCATAACTAGGACATAACAGCCTGGCTGGTAAGCTCCAGCTGAGCCCTCAGCCTCCACCCTGCGCTGCCTCTGCTGCCCCACGATGCTGCCCTTTTACATGAGTGACCAACCTTGAAAGGCAGTCAGGTCAGACATGATGATCACCATCATTTAAAGATGGGGAAACTGGCCGGGCGCGGTGGTTCACGCCTGTAATCCCAGCACTTTGGGAGACCAAGGCAGGCGGATCACAAGGTCAGGAGATCGAGACCATCCTGGCTAACACAGTGAAACGCTGTCTCTACTAGAAATACAAAAAATTAGCTGGGCATGCTGGCAGGTGCCTATAGTCCCAGCTACTTGGGAGGCTGAGGCAGGAGAATGACGTGAACCTGGGAGGCAGAGCTTGTAGTGAGCCGAGATCGCACCACTGCACTCCAGCCTGGGTGACAGAGCAAGACGTTGTCTCAAAAAAAAAAAAAAAAAAAAAAAGATGGGGAAACTGAGGCTCAGACAGGCACCTGGTCATAGGTAGAGGAAGGGTATGACCCAGATCTCCTGAGGCCAGATCTCAAGGTCTTGTCCCCAAACTGGGCTGCCGATAAACCACAAACCTGGAGTTTCCAGTGTGCCTGGTGCTGAACCAGGCAGACAAAGAAGTTAACTGAGAAAGAAAAGGCCCCCGCCTGGCAGGTGTGAGGGCGAGGCTGGTACCCTGCAGAGATGGGACTGATAGCTTTGTTCTCGGGCTGGGCGCCCTGTCCGCAGCCTCCCTCCTTCCCTGGGCTGGGGCAGCAGCTGGGCTCCTGTGCCTGGAGGTGCCAACAGGGCCGGTCATTCACAAAGCCACCGTTGGTTTTGTAGCCATAAAGAAAGATACAGCCCTTCCCTCGGGGAGCGAAAGCTGATACTGTAAACACCGTGGGCTCTATCTTTGATCTGGTGGGTCATAGGAGTGGCTTTTCTCCCCAGGTAGGGTTACCAGGAGAGGACTGGGCAGACCTTTGGGAAGCTGTGCCCTGCTGAACAGATGGTGCAGGGTGGGAGGGCAGGTCTGAGAGGGGAGCCCAACAATTACCCCCAGGTCTGGAACCCAGACACCAAATTTCAGGCCTCGGGGAAATTCTCAGTTTTAAAATAAATCCCTGGGGCTGCTTGTAACTTTTAGTCTTTGGCTTTAAAAATAGTTATTTTCTAGATAAAGGAAAATAATAACTTGTAAACTTGAAAAAACCACAAACCCCTTTATGGCCGGGTGCTGTGGCTCATGCTTGTAATCCCAGCACTTTGGGAGGCCAAGGTGGGCAGATCCTTTGAGGTCAGGAGTTCAAGATCAGCCTGCTCAACACGGTGAAACCCCATCTCTGCTAAAAATACAAAAATTAGCCTGGCATGGTGGCAGGCGCCTGTAATCCCAGCTACCTGAGAGGCTGAGGCAGGAGAATTGCTTGAACCCAGGAGGCAGAGGTTGCAGTGAGCTGAGATTGCACCACCGCACTCCAGTCTGGGTGACAGCAAGACTCCATTAAAACAAAACAAAACAGCTACAAACACCTTTAAACTACATGTTAGTAAAGGCTAGTGTCAGGCCCATAAGAGACCTAGGGGTGGGATGGTGGATGGAGGGCTCGGGTCTGAAATGCTTTTGTCTCTTCCTATGAGCTGATTTTGATTTGGGGTCATTTCCCTGGTATTGCGTTGAGTCATAGCTCTGTTCAACAAGGTGGTTATTTTCAAACTAACTTTAAAAATTGAGAGTGGCTTCTCTTATTCTGCTTCCTCCATCTATGATGCTCTTGTTGTTTTTCAGCTCTGTGAACTCCTAGTTATCCCTCAAGACCCTGTTGAAACATCACCTTCCAAACTGCCATATCCTACCCCCTTCCAACCCTAGAAAATCATGAATACATCCAATTATCCCTTCGTTATGCTCCATCTAAAAGTGCCTGTTCACAACTTCACATAACGTGGGAGTTCACCATCAAGTCCATTTTTTCTGGCCAGATGACCCACAGAACTTGATAAAAGACTTTTTTACGTATCATTTTATCCCCAATACCCAGCACATTGCCTGATACTTAACAAACGGCCTTGACTGGGCGCAGTGGCTCATGCCTGTAATCCCAGCACTTTGGGAGGCTGAGGCGGGTGAATTACCTGAGGTCGGGAGTTCAAGACCAGCCTGACCAACATGGAGAAACCCCGTCTCCACTAAAAATACAAAATTAGCCAGGTGTGGTGGCACATGGCTGTAATCCCAGCTACTCGGGAAGCTGAGACAGGAGAATTGCTTGAACCCAGGAGGCAGAGGTTGCGGTGAGCTGAGATAGCAACATTGCACTCCAGCCTGGGCAACAAGAGCGAAACTCCATCTCAAAAAAACAAAACAACAACCAAAAAAACAGGCCTTGAATGAATGTTGTTGAATGAATGTTATTCGCTCTGCATCATAAGTAGAGTAAAGGGAAAGAAATATTTATAAGCATCTATCATAGACCAAGTACTGTGTAGGCATCATCTATATGTTATTTAATTTCATCTCTATTAGAAGAGCTTTCATTTGTTTAAATCTAGACTACACGGGCAGTGATATCTTAACACAGTTAAGATACCTGGGAGGCTGGGCACAGTGGCTCATACCTGTAATCCCAGCATTTTGGGAGGCCGAGGCTGGTGGATCACCTGAGGTCAGGAGTTCGAGACCAGTCTGGCCAACATGGCCAAACTCTTGTCTCTACTAAAAATAGAAACATTAGTCAGGTGTGGTGGCGGGTGCTTGTAGTCCCAGCTACTTGGGAGGCTGTGGGGGGAGGGTTGCTTGAACCCAGGATGTGGAGGTTGCAGTGAGCTGAGATCGCACCACTGTACTCCAGCCTCTGTCTCTAAATAAATAAATACATACATACATAAATAAAAGATACCTGGGAAAACAGTTGATGAATACCTGTAAGGTGCTACAGGGCTGTAGGAAACGCAAAGAAGGACAATGTCTGTCTTCTGGGAGTTTCAGATATTATTGAGAACACATATATGTACACACGCACACATCCCACACATATATACCTTACTCACTCAAAGAAAGATTATTGAACTTGTAAAACACCCTGATTTCTAAATGCCTGCTACAGACCTAAATGTGATAGAAATGGGAAGAATGAGAGATCACTGTGGGCTCCAGTGTTTTTGAAGAAACCTCAGATGTGAGTCTCTCCCAGTGGCCTATATTCTCATATGCCTAGAGACTGGGAACAGATGAGATGATCTCCAGCAGTCCGCTGGCTGGAGAACTGGAGAATTGTTTATAACGATACCTTATATTTATGACTTTTCAAAAAGTGCTGTAACATCCATGATCCTATTTTTATCTCCAAAGTCATACAGCTGATAATGAAGCAGGGCCTGGGGTTGGATTCTGTTTCTGTCAATTACTAGTGGGGCTTCTGTCTGCCCATATGGCATCTCTGTGCAAATTGGAAAACAATGCCCCTTGCTCAGGTAAAATTGTGTTAAATTTAGTATATTACCGCATAGCTTGAACAACTGTGGTGGCAGCCTTATCCTGGTTGTGCTTTCTGGAACATCTGCACTGCAGTCTTCCTGGCTGAGGGCACACATGTGCCACACTCTCATCGCTTATGCTCCCTGCCCACCCCTGCCCTCCAATGCCAGGGCATGTCTGTCCCTGGCAGCTTGTACCTTTGCCTTAACCCGAATTCCTCCATTAAGTAAAGGGATTATACCAGGTTCAAAGCGGGGAAGGGTAAGGAATTAGGCCCCCTGAAGCGTGGCTGGGAGGGGCACAGTGGTGCATATGAGAGTGTCAGCAATGTACTTGCAGCTGTTCTGAGTGTGTGTGTGATCCATTGTATGGTGTGGGTTTTAAGTAGGGGAGGACTCTCCCCTGCAGCTTCAGAACTTTGGCTGGTGTCTCCACACATCCCTTCATTCCCTGACATGTACGATGTGAATACTACACATACCTCCCACCCCAGATCCTTTATACAGTGCTGAACCTGAGCAACTGTATATAGTGATCCTTGGATTGGAAGGTCATTAATTTATTATTTATTTATTTACTTATATTTATTTATTAAATAAAGTAAGTTTCAGTGTAACAGTGAGATATTTGTCTATTTTTGAGACAGGGTCTCACTCTGGTTGCCCAGGCTGGAGTGCAGTGGTGCAATCAGGGCCTCCACCTCCTGGGTTCAGGTGATCCTCCCACCTCAGCCTCCTGAGTAGCTGGGACTATAGGCCACCATACCTGGCTAATTTTTGTATTTTTAGTAGACTCTGGGTTTCGTCATGTTGGCTAGGCTGGTGTCAAACTCCGAGCTCAAGTAACCCACCCGCCTCGGCCTCCCAAAGTGCTGGGATTATAAAGGCATGAATCACTGCTCCCAGCCTGTCCTTAATTTTTTAAAATTGTGAAACTTACAAAAGTTACCTGCTCTTTTCTAACAAATTAAATTAAATAGGGATACAAAAACAAATTGAACACTCATTCTTGCTACCCTTTGCCTCTCATGTCTACTAAGTAACCAGTGCTAGGCTCGCTTGCATATTTCCACTACTTAATAGTGCATTTTTTTCATATTTTTTTTCCATATTTCCAGTACTTAATGTGTGATAAGGGAAACAGAAGCAAACATATGTATGCATATATGGGGTTTTGTTTCTTTAAACAAGTGTTTTAACAAAATTGAATCATACTATATATGTACTTTTTAATTTTTTGTTGTTGTTGTTGAGACGGAGTCTCACTCTGTCGCCCAGGCTGGAGTGCAGTGGCGTGATCTCGGCTCACCGCAAACTCTGCCTCCTGGGTTCATGCCATTCTCTTGCCTCAGCCTCCCAAATAGTTGGGACTACAGGTGCCCGCCACCACGCCTGGCTAATTTTTTTGTATTTTTAGTAGAGACAGGATTTCACCGTGTTAGCCAGGATGGTCTCAATCTCCTGACCTCATGATCTGCCCGCCTCAGCCTCCCAAAGTGCTGGGATTACAAGCATGAACCACCGTGCCCAGCACTTTTAAATTTTTTAAAAATGTTTACATTTTAGTTAATTAGTTAATTAATTTTTTGGAGATGGAGTCTCACTCTGTCACCCAGGGTGGAGTGCAGTGGTGCAATCTTGGCTCACTGCAACCTCTGCCTACTGAATTCAAGGGATTCTCCTGCCTCAGCCTCCTAAGTAGCTGGGACTATAGGTGCATGCCACGATGCCCAGCTAATTTTTGTATTTTTAGTAGAGACGAGGTTTCATCATGTTGGCCAGGATGGCCTCTATCTCCTGACCTCGTGATCTGCCTGCCTTGGCCTCCCAAAGTGCTGGATTATAGGCGTGAGACACTGTGCCCGGCCATGGCTGGCTAATTTTTTTTTTTTTTTGTATTTTTAGTAGAGATGGGGTTTTACCATGTTGGCCAGGCTGGTCTCGAACTCCTGACCTCAGGTGATCCGCATGCCTTGGCCTCCCAAAGTGCTGGGATTATAGGCATGAGCCACCATACCCGGCCCTATGCCCTTTTTTAAAGTTTAAGAATATAGTGTGGAAATCTACAGTCTGGGTCAATATGTTGGCATGTGCTCGTTAATATTTTTGATAACTGCATGATATTCCATAGTGTAGTTGTACAATAATTTGTTTTAAATTTACATTTAATTTAATTTATTTTTTTTGTTAGAGACAGGGTCGTGTTCTGTTTCCTGGGATAGGGTGCAGTGGTGTGACCATAACTCACTGCAGACTTGAACTCCTGGGTTCAAGTGATCCTCTTACCTCAGTCTCTTGAGTGAATGGAACTACAGGTACATGCCACCACACTTGGCTAATACTTAACAATTTATGTAGAAATGAAGGTCTCACTATGTTACCCAGGCTGGTCTTGAACTCCTAGACTCAAGCGATCCTCCTGCCTTGGCCTCCCAAAGCACTGGGATTACAGGTGTGAGCCACTGTACATGGCCCCTCTTTTTCTGACTATCTTTTTCTTTTTTCTTTTTTTTTTTTTTTTGAGACGGAGTCTCGCTCTGTCGCCCAGGCTGGAGTGCAGTGGCTGGATCTCAGCTCACTGCAAGCTCCACCTCCCGGGTTTACGCCATTCTCCTGCCTCAGCCTCCCGAGTAGCTGGGACTACAGGCGCCTGCCACCTCGCCCGGCTAGTTTTTTGTATTTTTTTTAGTAGAGACAGGGTTTCACCGTGTTAGCCAGGATGGTCTCGATCTCCTGACCTCGTGATCCGCACGTCTCGGCCTCCCAAAGTGCTGGGGTTACAGGCTTGAGCCACCGCGCCTGGCCCTGACTATCTTTTTCTAATCAATTTGTAGGCAATCTTTGTGTACTAGGGCTATCAATTCTTACGTTATGGGCTACCAATTCTTATGTTTCTTTCAGTCTTTTGTCTTTTAGTTTTGTTTAAGGTGTCTTTTACCATATTTTACATTTTATATAATCAAATGTGTGTTTTTAATGTCTTCTAGTACAGAGTCTGGCCTGTGCAGGTCTCCAGTTCCTACAGTTATATAAACATTCTACATTTCTTCATTGAAAAAAAAAATACAGTTAGATTGTGATTCCATTTGGGTTTTATTTTAAAATCTTTTGGGAGGTATGGAGAAGTGTTTAAATCTCTCTGAGGCTTCAGGTTCCTCTGTTGTAACATGGGCATCATTAGGATGAAAGAAAACGTGTGTAAAACTTACAGCATGATGCCTGCAACAGGGCTGATACTCAGTACGTGGTTGTAAGAGTTAGTTTATGAGTGATGGCACGCACTTGTTGTCCCAGCTACTTGGGAGGCTGAGTGGGGAGGACCACTTAAGGCCAGGAGTTCAAGTCGAGCCTAAGCAAAGTAGCCAGATTTTCATCTCTTAAAAAAATAAAAAATAGGCCGGGCGTAGTGGCTCACGCCTGTGATCTCAGCACTTTGGGAGGCCAAGGCGGGCAGATCACCTGAGGTCAGGAGTTTGAGACCAGCCTAGCTAACATGGTGAAACCCTGTTTCTACTAAAAATACAAAAAAATTAGCCGGGTGTGGTGGCATACGCCTGTAGTCCCAGCTACTTGGGAGGCTGAGGCAGCAGAATCGCTTGAACCTGGGAGGCAGAGGTTGCAATGAGCCGAGATTGCACCATTGCACTCCAGCTTGGGCAACAAGAGTGAAACTCCGCCTCAAAAAAATATAAAAATAAAAATAAAAATAAATAAAAGAGAGTTAGAACTAGAATCCTGACTGTGGCCTAGAGTTTTTTTCCTCCATCTCAGTGACTTGGCTCATATTGGTGACTTTGCTTTTTTCTCTTGGACAGATGTGCTGCTTTGAACTGGGTGAGTGCTCCCTCCTGGTGCTGGAGCTGGGGTTGGGCACTGAGCCAGGATGGGAAGAAGCAAGGAGGAGTGGTTTACAGAAAGTATTTCTGTGTAAGGGATTCCACACTTGGAAGTTCCCTCTGGACACCAGTGGGACCTGAACTCACACTGCGTCAGGGCTTCCTGAGCTCCTGAGGGACATCAGGTCACCAACTCCCTGTTTAGGCTGGACTCTCCCTGTGGGAACAGGGAAAGAACTGGAGCTGAAGTAGATGTGAGAGGTGAGGGTGGCAGACTGTTGGGGCTCTGGAGAATCTTCCAGACATTTCTGCTGCCTCTCCCAGCAGACTATGCCAATGAACGAATCAGAAAGCTTAAAGAGGGAAGCAGAAGATGAAAGAAATCCTGGGACCATGAAGCTTCAGAGGGCTGGGTGCCACAGTCGCCAGGCTCGGGAATGAACGCCTTAGCTGGAGCGTCGGGGCTTGGTGTCCCTGGACTACCCACACCAGGCAGGTTGCTATGCATGCTCACGTCATCATCCATATTCAGTTTCATCAATTACACTCAGTAATGTCCTTGACAACTATTTTTTTCTTCAATTCAGGATTTAATCCAGGATCACACATTGCATTTAATTGTTATTGTCTCTTCAGTTCTTTTAAATTGGGCAATTCCTTAGCCTTCTTTGTGTTTTATGACCTTGACTTTTTGTATGTGTGTGGCAAAAAAGTTCAAATTATACCTTGACATTTTAAAATGAACAGGTCAATTATTAAGTAACATTTCTTGTGATTAAATTCAGGTTATGGGTTTTGGGCAGGACACTGGGGAGATGCTGTGACCTTCTCAGAACACCATATCAAAGATACACATGATGTTGGCCTATTCCAACACTGGGGATGTTAACTTTTTTTTCCT